TTTTATGATTCTGGGTGGTGGTTTGGAGTAGTAAAAGAAGTACTTCCTGACAGTAGGTATGTTGTTGTCTTCCAAAATGAGAACAAGACCGAGAGGTTGCTCCATCACTCTGAATTAAGACCTCACATGGTTTGGAAAGATGGAAAATGGCATACTTCTCAGGGTGAAATATTATCTCCACATTGTACCCTTGAGGATGGGGATTGTCTCGATATCACCCAAATTGCTGTTACACATGCTAGCCAAGATGCTACTACAAATGAAACATCTGGCTCTAGATCCTTGAATTCTTCTGATGGAGATATGATTGAGCAGACAATTCCTTGGAGGCCTTCAAATGCGTCAGTTTCACTGATAAAAAGGAAACGATGTCTAGAGCTATCAAAGGAGGGATTTTCAAGTGAGGAAAATGTGGAATCTGTACCAATGGAAAAGGTTGTTAGCGAAGGTCCCGTAGCTATGGAGAAGGTTGTTAGCGAAGGTCCCGTATGTATGGAGAAGGTTGTTAGCAAAGGTCGCATACCTATAGAGAAAGTTGTTAGCAAAGGTCCCATAGCTATGGAGAAGGTTGTTAGCAAAGGTCCCGTAGCTATGGAGAAGGTTTTTAGCGAAGGTCCCGTAGCTATGGAGAAGGTTGTCAGTGAAGGTCACAACAATGGTTCTGAAGATGATCAACCTCTCACATCCTGGGTTGGAAAAGTGCACACTCCAACTCCTCCTCTTGATGGATCAACACTTTCACCACAGCCACCCCCGCAAGGAGGTCTCTGCCAGAGCTGGCCTTTTGTGAAGAAAGACTCATTTCTATGGGACCGAATAGAATCCAGAGAAGCTTTTCAGAAAATTCCACAGAATCCTCATTTTCAACCGCTGCAACACAGCGAAGATTTTTGTCGTGAAACTCTGGCTATCTGTTACATGGGAACTTTTGCTGATCTAGTAGATAAGGCTTGCAACTTGAAGCTTGATGAACCTAGAAACAGCATTGAAAAAATGTTGGACACACTAGTTGAGTTGGAGTCGCATGGGTTCAATGTTGAGCCTATAAGCCGTCGCTTGAAGGAGATTCTGTCATATAGAGACAATCAGGAAAATCTGCAAGACTTGTCAGCTGGGACCCACAGCAAAATGGAGAATCAGAAGACACTCAAAGCAGACATGATGAAGCAAAAATCTGAGCTGGAGAAATGCCTTTCCCAGGTGGCATCCAAGATGGAGTCAAACGAAAACAACATAGCTTCTCTGCAGTCCACTATGGATGAGATCAGCAAGGAGCTCGAACATTTGAGCCGGGATTATGAAGCTTTGATTTGCAAACCATTTGAACCACCAGTCCAAAACGTCGAGTCGGCCGAGGGGGGGTGACCACAGTAGGGCTATGGATTGTTCCATCCTCAACTTTTGTAAGTAAACTATATGTAGAAAACTGATGTTATGGCTTTTAGCTCTAATGACCCAACTTACTCCTTGATTTTGAGACCAAAACCTATCTAGTTTTATGTTAGATTAGGAGTGATCATGTGCTCTTGTATTGTGGCATTTTGGGGTGTGAAAACCTCTTTGTTTTACTCCGTATTAATATGGGTTTGGGCTGAGTCCCAAGTAAATGTGATTGATTTGAAATAAATAAATAAAATCAAAATAACAAAATAATACATAGAGTATAAATTATGTTGCCCCAAATTGGCAATCCGGGTGGGGGAGCGAGAAAATAGAGAAATGTTTAGAGGGGGGGGGGGG